GTGTCCCCAAGGGGGTCCAGGTGTCACCTGAGTGTCACCGTGGTGTCACCTGGGTGTCACCAGGGGTGTCTGGGTGTCACCAGGGTGTCCCCAAGGGGGTCTCGGTGTCACCTGAGTGTCACCTGAGTGTCACCGCGGTGTCACCTGGGTGTCACCAGGGGGGTCTGGGTGTCCCCAAGGGGGTCTCGGTGTCACCAGGGAGGTCTGGGTGTCACCTGAGTGTCACTGGGAGGGTCCAGTTGTCACCTGGGTGTCCCCAAGAGGGTCTTGGTGTCACCTGGGGGGGTCTCGGTGTCACCTGAAGGTCTGCGATGTCACCAAGGGGGTCACAAACAACAAAAGCCACACGGGAACGTCCTTTATTGGGCTTTGGGGACATTTGGGGACACTTTGGGGACAGCAGAAGGCGGTGCCACCTTCCCCGGGGACATTTGGGGACAGCAGAAGGCGGTGCCACCTCCCCCGGGGACATTTGGGGACATTTGGGGACGCTGGCGTCACACGGCCACCGGCTCCTGGACGTGGTGGTGGCGCTTGACCACGAAGAGCTTCTGACCGGAGACGGTGACCAGGAGAGAGTGCTCGCCGAAAACCACTGGGGACAAGGGACAGTGCCACCATCGGTGTCACCAATGTCACCAGAGCCACCATCAGTGTCCCCAATGTCACCGGAGCCACCCCAGAGCCACCCTCAGTGTCCCCAATGTCACCAGAGCCACCCCAGGGACGGTGACCAGGAGAGAGTGCTCGCCAAACACCACTGGGGACAAGGGACAGTGCCACCATCGGTGTCACCAGAGCCACCAGGGTCACCCTCCGTGTCCCCAGAGCCACCATTGGTGTCACCAGAGTCACCAGGGCCACCCCAGGGACGGTGACCAGGAGAGAGTGCTCACCAAACACCACTGGGGACAATGGGGACAGTGCCACCCTCAGTGTCACCAATGTCACCAGAGCCACCCCAGAGCCACCCTCAGTGTCCCCAATGTCACCAGAGCCACCCCAGAGCCACCCTCAGTGTCCCCAATGTCACCAGAGCCACCCCAGGGCCACCCTCAGTGTCCCCA